TGAAAATCACGACATGATGTTCGTATGAATATCACGAATGTTGTCCGGGTAGTTAATGTTTAAAATGTAGTAAACGCCATTTTTGCATCAGGAACTACAAGAAATATTGAAATCTCTGTCTTTGCCACGCGAATAAAGTAAAAGAAAGTAGTATTGAGTGAATACCCGAATTGTCATAATTCAAAATAATTCAAAATTCTGCCCATTACCCTCCAATCAAATTCTTCCTCTATGCAAAATGTTTTCCTGGACGCGTTGCAGCGTTCCTGGTGTCACCATTGCAATAGCATCTTGGTTGCAAAGAGTTATAAAACAGTGATTAAAAAAGACAAGATCACGAATAAATAAAGAAACATTTAGTTGTCAGAGATAATCTTCGTTGTATTTTACCAACAATTATAAACCTGCCTAATACTAATTAATGGCATCTAGATGGAAAAATTGTGATTTTTGGAATGGATTATTGATATTAAACGCAATAATAATTATCAAAGTTCAATAGTATTATTACATAAATTTTACAAAATTTATTAATATATATATATATATATATAATATATATATATATATATATATATATATATATAACTATAGTTAATTTAAATCCAAGAAAATATTGAATGTTAAACTGTTGATTCAATTGTTAACATATTTTTTTCTTTCAATGTACGAATGTGGCGCAAAAATAAATATCCAAACATGTTGGTGCACCGATGGCATAAAAAATCATGTCGTGATGATGATTTTCATTTATCACGCGGTGACTTCCGTATAATATCAGTATGAATAAAATTTGTGAAAACCACGACATGATGTTCGTATGAATATCAAGTATGTTGTCCGGGTTCAATTAAAAAAGATATTCCAATGTTTAACAAAACGTTCACGTTTTGTTAAACATTGGAATATCTTTTTTAATTGAACCCGGACAACATTCGTGATATTCAAACAACGTTTTATAAATTATAACGGTGTAATGTGAATGACAAACTAGGTTTTAAATTCGCAGTTCGCAGGTCTCATACGCATGCGCAAATTTTGCAAATATCACACCGTGAGTTCTACATGATATCACTGTGATGAAGCATGTGTGTGCACTCAGGATATCACAGCGTGATAAAAAAAATCACGTTGTGATATCATCATGACTTCACCAGGAAATCCCGATTGTTGTCCGGGTACGTAGTAAATGTAGTAAATTTAGGGAATTACGTGATTAGTCTTTTTACTACGAAAAGCTTGGGTTTGTGTTATTCTGTGATCTTTCAGTTTGACGTGTCAAACTCAGAAATCACTGCTCATAGGCTGTAGAGGTGGATACTCTTGTAACCTTGCAATTTTCTGCATTTGTTGTTTTTTTATAATATTCAAACTTTCATACCATATTTGACAATGGCAATCAAAAGCAGTTTTCATTAAAAAAATAAACATAATTTAAGGTTAAAGCAATACAAACTTAGTATACAACAATTAACAAGAACAAAATAATTTGTGGTAAATGTAGTATAAAATGAATAATATTTGCAATGTAGTAAATTACATTTATTACGGCAGTAAGTTAGGTAGTAAATTTAAAATTTAGCACCTTTTCCGTTCATATAACCCGCGCGAGGACCTTACGTAGGTAATCCTCCGGTCACCGGAGTCCGGTGTATCTTAGTACTTACGTTATAATCTGTCATAAAACCAGAATAATGAGACTTCTTTATGCAATAATTACATTTTTATAAATGGCTTCTATGAAAACAATGATTTTGATTATTGAACTAAATAATACAGCGCATCAGCCACCGTATCAATGTTGCCAAATTTACGGTTTTACTAGCTTGTTACTAAAAGTTGTAATTCTGTCTAATAATCCTAGATATAGGATAAGAAAATATTGCTCGTGTTACTTTTAATTCTTAGTTCTAATTTTCCAATTTCAATTTATTATATTCATTAGGTTATGGGCCCAGTCAATAGTAAAAATTAACGATTTGTCAGTTAACAGTAAAACTGGAATTCCAACGTTCAACGGCTTGAATTTTAACAACGGGCGGTTTCGTGATAAAATTTCCCTGGATGAAAAGGGCTTGGGAAAATTCATCGAACAAAAATTGGATGTTTTGCTATTGGCTGCTGTTACAGCTGAGGAAAAAGCAAAAATCTAGTTGGAGGAAAAGAAATGCAAAAACATTATCGTTCAATCGGTTCAATATTTACAATATCTCTGCCCCTGCTGATTTTAATTCTCTTACCTTTTTATCAAATTCGAGCAGATGATCGCGCATATCGTCAGTTTCATCGTAGTTCATCGTAAGCAATTGACGCCTCAAAAATAATTGGCTTGAAATACTTTTTCGTTTATATATGTTCGCTTTACAGTCAATCATATCCTTTGCAGTCGATTTTCTTTTAATATTTTCCAATTGTAAATCATGAGATTTGCTAATTACAATGCCGAAAGCATTTTATGGTTTGGTTGCAGCAATTGAAACAATGGATCAAGACAAAATTACATTGGATTTTGTAAAATATCGTTTGTTGAAGGAACACAACAGGAGGAATTTAATTTCTTCCAGCGGTAAAACTTAATCTGTTGCAATGAATGCAAACATAACCTGCTACGGCTGTGGTCAAGTGGGCCACAAACGGTCACAATGTAACAAAAGGAACTTGAAGGGCAAGAAAATCCTTACGAAGAAGTACGATAAAAATAACAGCGCGAATCAGAGAGGAATATGAGGTCAGCATGAGGGCGTTTGTTGAATTTGCGAATAAAGCAAGTATTGTAAAAATATTAAAGGGAATTCTGGTGTGACTGAGCACATGGCTTAGAACAAAACTTTTTTTAATGAACTAAGGGACATCGAAGAAGTAAATATTTCGGTTGCCAAGAGGAATGCAGCTCTATGCGCGAAGCAAAGAGGAGATATTCTGGTAAAAACCTTATACAATGGTGATTGTAAAACAAAAGTTATTAAAAATGTGCTTTTTGTAAAGAATTTGAAATGTAATCCAATATCAATTCGCAGTTTAACCAAAAGAGGATATTAAATAGTTTTTAAGATTTTGCACAGGTATACTTAAAAAATGATCTTACATTTGTTGCCCACCTGTCAGGAAATCTGTACGAAGTTGATTTTCAAATCGATCGCAATGAGTTTGCTGGATTGACTGGTGAGAATAATTCAAGGCAAAAGTTTCGGCATTTTCGACTAGGTTATTTGAATAATATAGATATGAAGAAATTAGTCGATACAAATATGGCAAATGGTATTAAACAATTAAAGGTAGATGTGAATGATACATTTTGCGAATCTTGTATTCTTGGAAAGCTGTCGCGATTGCTATTTCCACAGAAGAGAGAAGCACGATGAAATCGAACTCTTGAAATGATTGACAGTGATATTTGTAGACCAATGTCTATTTTAGCTCATGAAGGTTCCAAATATTTCGTAACTTTTACTGACGATTATTCAAGGGCATCTATGGTTTATTGCATCGAACGACAAACTGAAGTATTTAACAAATTCAAGGAATATATTGCGGTGGCGGAAACCCTTCACGCATGTAAGGTTGCCAAATTGAAGGTCGACAATGGCGGTGAATATGTTTTAAAGGAATTCAAGTATTTCTTCAGTGAAAGAGGTATTCAATTGGATTATACAGTTGCGTATAATCCTGAAATAAATAGAAAAGTGCAGAACAATGTTAACTGCAAGTAATTTAAATAAAAAATTTGGTCAGACGCTATTTATACGGCCAGTGCATATGGTGAACAATTTGAAGATAAAATACCGGCAGAAATATGGTTTGGTAAAAAACATGTCGAATCTTAAAATATTTGGTTCAATGTGCTATAATTACATTCCTCTGGAAAAACGTTCGAAGCTCGACGAAAAATCAACCAGATGCATCATGTTTTAGCGTTTACAGTCTCTGGGACATTAAAGCAAACAAATTGATTGTTGTTCGGTCATCGGTAAGTAGGATTCAGAGGCGGACTTACCACGATGTGTATTCGGAGGACATAGATGGTAATATCGATAAATACAAGGGAAGGCTTGTTGCAAGGGGTTTTTTTACAAATCATTGGTTTTTATTATAATGAAACGTATGCTCCCGTAGCAAAACTAACAACGCTTCGCGTTTTATTGTCAGTTACAAGGCAGAAAAACTTGTTTATTTAACAAATGGACGTGAATAGTGCCTTCTTGAATGGAGAACTTATAGAAGAAATTTACATGGAGTTGCCTGAGGGATTCAAGAACGAAGTAGGCAAATTGAACAAATCGTTGTACGGTTTGAAACAATCATCACGAGCATGGAACAAACGATTTAACCAATTTATGATGAAATTAAATTTTAAGCGTTGTATATCTAAATATTGTCCTCATATATGCAAAAAGAAGAGAGACTTTCTGCTATATTGTATTGTACGTTGATGATTTGTTGATTGTTTCTACAGAGAATCAAGATTATAAAGAATTTGCTGCAAAAAGATAGATATTGAAAATGTTGATACTTTTCTTGGAATACATATATATTAGATCGCAACATTGGAAAAGGTACAACATTTATAAGTCAGTCTCATACCTGCAAAAAGTTTTGATGAAATTTGGCATGAACGATTGCAAAATGGTTGCAACTCTAATGGAAACCGGATTGAATTTAGAAAAAGGTGAAGTGAGTAAATTACCAACTATTCGTTATCGAGAATTAATTGGATGACTTACGCTACGCTTACAACAAAACCAGATATGTGTGCTGCTGTAAATTACTTCAGTCGCTTTCAAAGTTGCTATACAACTAACACTTTACACATGCAGAATATTGCGATATCTTAAAGGAACTTTGAATATTAAAATGTTTTTCAATCGCAGTTCAACAAATGAAAAACCTAAACAAATCTAATTTGTTAGATAAAATACCACAATTAAATACGAAAACCAACTTAATATATTAATACCAGGTGCAGTAAACCATATAAAACTGCTACAAGACAAGTTTTCGAAATGACAAAGAAGAAAACAGCCAAAAAGAAGTCACTCACATGTGCAATATGCGAAAAGTCTCTGGGCAAAACTAAAATCAAGCTGCAGTGCCAAAATTGCACAAAGTGGGCACATCAAGAGTGCACAGGTGTGCTAAAAAATTGGTCATGTGCGGAGTGTAAGGAAGAAGAGTCATCTTTCGAAGATGACACAGATATTGAAAGTGAAGCTGAAGATAACTCTGGAAGCCAGTCTGAGGTAAATACTAAAAAAGAATGTCCAAAACCTAAGAAAAAATATACCTTAGGAGATATAATGAAACAACTGGAAAAAATAGAGACCAAACACGATGAACTCCTTAATAAATTTCAAGAAATCCTTTAAGAAAATTTAAGGCTCAAGGAAGAAATAAAGGGCTTGACAACTAAGCAAAAACAACTGCAAGTAGCATAATCGAAACTAACAAAACAAAACAGGAAAAACTGAGCAAGAACGTAATAATACAGGGATTGGAGAAAGAAAACACCATGGACTACAAAAAATTGATAACAAAAATTGGAGATGGATGCAACTCCAAGATAACAAAAAATGATATAGAACAAGTACAAAATATAAGCAAACCAGTATTAAAAGTGCAATTTAAAACAATAGAAGTAAAACAGAACCTACTCTTGGCATATAAAACGAAAAGAGGCCTGACACACCAAAACATTGGGCAACAAGGAGCAGAAATAATATATATATATATATTAGGGTGTGCCAAAAAAACTCGATATTTTTTTTTCTTGCTCTCCACCCAAAATATCGTAGAATATGTCCGAATAAATATCCTGTTAAAAGCGGAGCTCATAATTTCAATTTTAAGAGGTCCCTCATCGAATCTGAAGTTTTGCCGCTTAAATAACACAGAAAACTGACTTTTTTACCTTATTTATTCTTGCAACCTAGGAAGAAATTTTTTTTTCATAAAATCCATGAATATTTCTTACAAAGCATTAAATTTGGACAAAAAAATCTTATTAAGCCGAATTTCTATTTTTATTATTTGATTTTTTACAGAGCTTTAAATTTAAGTTAATAATACAAAAATGATGAATTTATACGCCTGTAACTTTTAGAATATTGACGATACAAAAAATTCGCCCAAAACTTTTTTGTGGTCCATCAGACAAGCTAAAAAATTGCCATTTGACTTTTTCGTCTAACTTCAATAGTTTAGCTGAAAAAGGCAAAAAACAATATAAAAAAAAAAATTTTTCGCTCTTACCCTCTCAAATGTTTTTATTTAATATAAAGAAAATCCTCACCAAATATGGGCGTTCCAGCTCAACTCTAAGAGGTCGCTGTTTTTATTTTAGTTTCCCATTGAATTAACATGGGAAAAAATTAATTTATGTTTGGAATTTTATACCTCTGTATCAAAGTAACTTATGGCAATGATCATTGCAGCTTCTTATATAAAATTTAACGCTCTACAAAAAAGGTCTCTTATTATTTTTCGATAAATTGATTTCTTCTAGAGTTATTCGAGGTCAAAGTTTGATTAACATCAAATTTTCTGTTTTTTTTTATATATATATATATATTATATAAATCACGACATGACTCAAGAAAACCAAATACTTTTCAAGAAGGTCAGGGATCTTAAAAAAGAGCTAAACTACAAATACGCTTGGTTTAACCATAACAAAATTATGATTCGTAAAGATGATGAATCCAAAATTCTTGAAGTCGATAGTGAAGATACCGTAACAAAAATTAAGAAAAAATCCCAGAAGGAAAACTAAAACTAAAAATCACATACTTAAACATACGTAGTCTTAAATCAAAGCTAAATGAAATCAAACTAATAGCTGCACAAACCGATCCAGACATCATAGTTCTCACAGAAACATGGCTAACACAACAAGAATCAATTTTCTACACCTTAAAAAACTACAATAGCATCCACTCATGCAGAACTACAAAAGGAGGAGGGGTTTGCGTCTACATAAGCTCTCATAAACCACAATAATGAAAATAACTTTCTAAGCATAACCTTAAATGATCTAACAAATCAACATCTGTGCTGTCTACAGGAAACCTACAAGCCAAAAAGATGACTTCTATAAAGTACTAGAAACCAATATTTTAAACAAAAAAAACACCATACTTATTGGAGACCTTAACATTGACCTCCTAAATAAGAAAAACAAAGCCACAAAGGAATATATGAACTTAATAACATCCCATTCATTCTCTATTAAAAACAAAATCAACCAGGCTAACTACACAAGGCTAAACCCCCATGGATCAAACACCATAATTGACCATGTGGTAACAAATATAAAAAAAAACAAATAAAACTAAACATCACAGACACACCTATTAGTGATCACAAGCAAATCTCACTCTGTCTAACAGCAACTCAACAAGCAAAACCCTACAAAAAAAAGTATGTAACACAACAATAAACCACAACCAGCTAAGAAACAATATAGAACGATCATTGCTAAAAAATCAAATTGACACTTTTGAGAAACTACAAGACCTAATAACAGCTGAAGCAGAAAAATGCACAAAAGTTACAACAAACTGGTATGCTGTATCGAATTGGCAAGGTTGGATGACAAAGAATCTTTACAAAATAGTAAATCTACGCAACAAAGCCTACAAAAACATGTTAAAAAATCCTGAGTGCAACCTGCTAAAAAACAACTTTATCACACTAAAACGAAAAGTAAAAAACATGATAAAATATGAGAAAGAAAGGTATTACAAAAACAAAATAAAAGCAGCAGAAGGAAATAGTAGAAAAATATGGAAAATAATAAAAGATGCTAAACACACTGAGAACAACTGCAAAACAGAAATTAAAGAGCTTATCACAGAAAATGGAACAAAAACAAAAGACACAAAGGAAATAGCAAATACTATAAACCACTTTTTTGCAACAATTGGGCAAAAACTTCGTCACGAATAAGTTGGGCTGAACTACCAGATGCCATCATACGAAAACCCATCGCCTCCATGTATCTTAGACCCACCACTTTGAAAGAAATAACAAACATAATACAAAACATGAAAAGCAACATATCACCAGGCTATGACAACATCAAACCACTGCTCTTAAAAAACCTGACAAACACACTAGGTCCTACAATAGTTACACTCATAAACAAACAAATAAAAAGTGGTATTTATCCCTAGGAACTGAAAATAGCAAGAATCACACCAATCTGGAAAAGTGGAAATAAGCAAGACCCAAGTAACTATAGGCCAATAGCAAACCTAACCCTACTAAATAAAGTCTTTGAAAAAGTTATACACAACAGATTGACTGAACACCTTGAAAACATTAACTTTCTCACACAAACCCAACACGGCTTTAGAAAAAGCAGAGGGACAACAAAGGCCTTGATCAATCTGTTAGACTATATACAGACACAGCTTGACGATGGAAAATGCATAACTGGGCTGATATTTGATTATAAAAAAGCATTCGATACAGTAAACCTAGCTATCCTCCATAGAAAACTAGAAGAAGCCGGAATACATAAAAATGCCCTAAACTTGTTAACCTCATACACAAAGGAAAGAAAAATGTACACAAACCTGGGAAAAATAAAAAGTAATTTGCAAGACATCAACTTCGGAGTTCCACAAGGGTCAATACTTGGCCCTTTCCTGTACATAATCTACATAAACGACATTGGCAAACTCAACCTTAATGGCAAACATATGATGTATGCAGACGATCTCGCAATTTTCTATCTTAACAAAAACGATGAAACGGCCAAACAAAATATAGAAAAAGACAAACAAACTACAGAAGTGGACAAACACTAACTTTTTGACACTCAATGAAAAAAAATGCTACATAATTCACATAGAAAAAAGACCAAAGACACGCAATCTCACAATAAAACTAAATGGTCAAAGCCTAAAGAAAATGCAACAAATAAAATACCTGGGACTTATAATCGACAGACGAATCAACTGGAAAGATCACATACAACAATTAACAACCACACTAGCCTCTTATTTATCCCTAGCCTACAATTTAAGTATTACCCTACCCAAACAAAAAAAGGACATAGTCTACCACGCTTATATTAAGTCAAGATTAACTTACCTTATACCGTTCTGGGCAACAGGGGACAAAACCTGCTTAAAATATCTCCAAAGAGCACAAAACAAAGTTATAAAAGCCCTTTATAATTTAAGAAAAGATACCCCAACTGAATGTGTCTACAAAACAACAAAATTATTAAACATAGAGGAACTAAGACAGGTCGAAACGCTAAAAATTATGCATCAAGCCAAAAGCTTTAGAGCCATTAAAAACAGTGACTGTCATAAACATAATACAAGGGGGAAAGACAATTTCAGACCCCAAAAATCCAGAACCAAAATGGGAGAGACTAGACTAACATCAGAAGGAGCGAGATTATACAACCAACTCCTAGAAAACTTAAAAAACTCACCAGAGAGCAAATTCAAAAAAATGGTACTCGAACACATAATAAGCAAGAGAAATGAAGACCTGTGATACAACTGTGATAGTATTTATTAAGTACAAATGTTTTATTTTACAATAAATTGTTATATATACACATTTTACATATATTTTAAGATATCTTGTTATACATGCACATGTTACATATGTACCTGTTAAAACCCGAAATAGGTTATTTAGGTTTATTTCCTCAATAAAAAAAAACAGGTTACATTTATTCGGCAAGCGACAAAAATGATCGAAAATCAATATCTGGATATGTATTTAAATAATTTGATAACACTATCGGTTGGGTATCAAGAAAGCAACCCACGGTCAGTTTGTCTTCTACGAAGAATGAATATATTTAGCTTGAACATGGATTTGTGAAGCAAAATGGTTGAAAAGTCTAAATGGGTGAACGATCTGATGAACCGATCATTATATACGAAGACAACCAATCATTCATTATAGTGGCAGAGGAGCCACGAGAACATAAACGAATAAAACATATCGATGGTTTACTTTTTATTTTATCAAAGTGTCAGTTACGATAAGCTGCACATGTTAACATAATAGTTATACCAATTTTGGAATCTAATATTGGTCAGTTTGAATATTTTTATTATTGTAAGCGCCTCTTCTTTTTAATTTGTTACCGATTTATAACGTAAGCGCCTATATGTTCCCGACAAATAATCGTAAGCAACTCCGAGACATGGCGTTTGCAGTTTAACATTGTGTCGCTTAAGATAATATTGTGCTCCTGCCTTGATCTATCAAGGCGTTATTCCCGCTCTAAACAGTTTATTCGTGAGTATACCTGCATTGTGGTGATTGCTACCAAGTTTTAAAACAATATTTTATTTGATCAAAAGCTTATAATTCCTTTTTTTTCATTGCATTA